AGCCGGGAGAATTTTTGTCAAAAATAATAATTCAGCAGCTTAAGAGGAAACCAACGGCTCCTCCTATTCGCACGAAAGTCGGGAGACGTTTGGTCCAATAAAATCCGCCCAAATTCAGGAAGCCTTCGATTAAAAAGTGAAAGTCGACTCGCTTCCGGAGAGAGGCGCTTTTCACACGACTCAGGGGGAACAACACGCATAAAAGAGCCGGCCTCATCGGCCGCGGGGAAATCTCTCCCCGAAGAAAGCCTTCTGCACCTGCTCAGAGGACCTTCGGCTCACCCAAATCCTCGTTCTTTTTATTCCGAGCCAGCAAGCAGCCGCCGCCACGGAGCACCGGCAACCGGCAGAGGGCTCTGGACCGCGGAGCGATGGGCTGATCCGGGCTGGCCTCGCTCGCTCCGCGCTGCTGATCCCCGGAGGAAGGGGCCGATCTTCCAGCCGGACGGCGGGGTTATATCCGGAGACTGGTAAGCGGGCCTAGTGGGCGCAGCCGGGGTTAGGGTTAAGCCTCCCCGAAGCTGCCGCCCTTCGCGCGTGTATCAAACCGGGGCAAACATCAAAGGAGAGCGAGAAGATCAAAGCGACTCAGAACGTGACGTCATAGGAATTCAGAGGGTTTCCTTTGAAGTCGAGACTCGAAAGGGGTGGGGCGCTGGAGGCAGCTTTTCAGCCTTTGCCCTTCCCCCCCCCCCTTTCGACCCCAGGATCTAGACTACAGTCCCCATCGGTCGCAGCCCGCCGGGTTGGGAATCGCCTTTCAGAGCACAAGGTGAGCCTATAAAATGTATAGTATAAAAAAATCAGGGGTAGTCAACCTTGGCTCTTTTATGACTCGTGGACTTCAACTCCCAGAATTCCTGAGCCAGCAGAGCTGGCTCAGGAATTCTGGGAGTTGAAGTCCACGAGTCATAAAAGAGCCAAGGTTGACTACCCCTGGTTATAAATCCACCAAAGTAGGCCCGGGAACTTTGGAACTGCTTAAGCCAAGGGACCTTTGAGAAAGCGCTCTGTATAAGCTCAGGGGAACTGTCCCCGGCTGAAATCTCGGGCAATGATGGATCACAGAGCTCTAAGCTGGGCACCATGGAAGTTGTAGTCAAGGATGATCTGGATGGCAGGAAGTCCAGCACTAACTTGGTACCTTTGGGCCAGTGTCTTTTTTTTTCCATTTCAGCCTACCTTGTATGGTTATTGTGGGGAGAAAGAGGAGGAGGGAATGCTGTGTATGCTGCATAAAAGACAATATGTAATCCAGTGTTTCTCAACCTTGACAATTTTAAGGCATGTGGACTTCAACTCCCAGAATTCCACAGCCAGCATTGCTGGGTGTGGAATTCTGGGAGTTGAAGTCCACATGCCTTAAAATTGTCAAGGTTGAGAAACACTGACATTGTAATCCAGCAAATAAATGTTAATCTAGGTTGCCATAGTTTCTGTTATGCAAATTTGGGGCATGCAGAATTAAATGCTTTTCAATATCCATATATCTGTAATTGCAAATAAGCACCCTCATGCTCTGATTTACCCTTACACAATACTTGTGCTCTGACATAAAAATCTCACAATACTTGACCATTTCCATTTTTTTACTTTAAAAAAAAAAAAAAAAAAGTTTTCCTCACTATTAAAAAATGTCTTCCAGAAGCTAAAGAAAAGGATGAACTATTTGGTCTGCTTTTTTTTATTTTTCCATTTATTTAAGACAGGATTATTTTTGTGCAGGCTGTGGGTAAGAGATTGTGGGGCACTTAGGAAAGGCGTGGAAGAGAGTTTAGCTCTAAACCGGTATTAGCTTTAAGACGTGAGGGCTTCAGGTTCCAGAGACCAATATGGTGGCAGGGGGATTCTGAGAGTTGAAGTCCATACATCTTAAAAGCTGCCAAGGGTGAGAAGCACTGAAGACCACAAGAGAGTCTGTTTATCTTCTAAACAGAAAAGGGAGAGCAAATCTCGGAATGGGCAGCTTAATAGCCAGCATTGTTAAAACCGCTTTTAATATCCTTTTTCTAGCTGTGATTGTGGTTCCCCAAACAGCCACATTTGAAGGAGCCGAGAGAGATTCCTGGGTCTCCCAATGGAGCAAAGTCCCGTCCTCCAGAACATAGATTCAGAGTGCCAAGGTAAATTGGATTTTCTTTCAGTTATTGTGACCCAAGTCTTCAATTCACTGCTCAACTTCCAGATCCTGTTTTTGGTTGTTGTTTTTTACCATTCCCTGCAGAACCCACTACCTATTTACACATTTTTAAAAATATAGGCCCCAACATTGTACAGACTTACAAGAGAAACAACCTAGAACTAAGGAGAAATTTCCTGACAGTTAGAACAATTAATCAGAGGAACGATCTGCCTCCAGAGGTTGTGAATGCTCCAACACTGGAAGTTTTTAAAAAGAGATTGGACAGCCATTTGTCTGAAATGGTGTAGGGTTTCATGCCTGAGCAGGGGGTTGGACTAGATGACCTCCAAGGTCCCTTCCAACTTTATTATTGTTGTTGTTGTTGTTAGTTGCAAAGTCGTGTCCGACCCATCGCGAACCCATGGACAACGTTCCTCCAGGCCTTCCTCTACCATCTTCTCGGGTCCATTTAAGCTCATGCCTACTGCTTCAATGACTCCATCCAGCCACCTCATTCTCTGTCATCCCCTTCTTCTATTGCCCTCAATCTTTCCCAGCATTAGGCTCTTCTCCAGTGAGTCCTTCCTTCTCATTAGGTGGCCAAAGTATTTGAGTTTCAACTTCAGAATCTGGCCTTCTAAAGAGCAGTTGGCGTTGATCTCCTCTAGGACTGACCGGTTTGATTGCCTTGCAGTCCAAGGGACTTGCAGGAGTCTTCTCCAGTACCATAGTTCAAAGGCCTCAATTCTTTGTTGCTCAGACTTTCTTATGGTCCAACTTTCACAGCCATACATTGCAACTGGGAAAACCATGGCTTTGACTATACGTACTTTTGTTGGCAGAGTGATGTCTCTGCTTTTTAGTATGCTGTCTAGATTTGCCATAGCTTTCCTCCCCAGGAGCAAGCATCTTTTAATTTCTTGGCTGCAGTCCCTATCTGTGGTGATCTTGGAGCCCAGGAAGATAAAATCTGTCACTACCTCCATTTTTCCCCCATCTATTTGCCAGGAATTGAGAGGGCCGGATGCCATGATTTTGGTTTTCTTAATGTTGAGTTTCAAGCCAACTTTTGCACTCTCCTTCTTCACCCGCATCAAGAGGCTCTTTAGTTCCTCTTCACTTTCTGCCATTAGAGTGGTATCATCTGCATATCTTAGGTTGTTGATGTTTCTCCCGGCAATCTTAATTCCAACTTTTGATTCATCTAGCCCTGCCTTTCTCATGATGTGCTCTGCATATAAGTTAAATAGGCAGGGCGACAGAATACAGCCTTGCCGGACTCCTTTCCCAATTTTGAACCAATCAGTGGTTCCGTGTCCAGTTCTCACTGTTGCTTCTTGACCCACATATAGATTTCTCAAGAGACAAATAAGATGGTCTGGTACTCCCATCTCTTTGAGAACTTGCCACAATTTGTTGTGATTCACACAATCAAAGGCTTTAGCATAGTCAATGAAGCAGAAGTAGATGTTTTTCTGGAACTCCCTAGCTTTCTCCATGATCCAGCGTATGTTGGCAATTTGATCTCTAGTTCCTCTGCCTATTATTATTATTGTTGTTGTTATTGTTATTGTTATTATTATTAGTTCATTTAGTGACCGTTTGAAGTTACAACAGCACTGAAAATGATCATTTTTCACACGACATCCTCATGGTCACATGATCAAAATTCAGACGTTTGGCAACTGACACATATTTATGATGGTGGCAGTGTCCCAGTCATGTGATTCCCCTTTTGCGACCTTCTGACAAGCAAAGTCAATAGGGAAGCCAGATTCACGTAACAACCCTGTTACTTAACTTGACAACTGCAGTGATTTACTTAAGAACGGTGGCAAGAAAGGTAAAATGGGTCAAAAATTCACTTAACAGCTGTCTCACGTAGCAACAGAAATTTTGGGCTCAATTGTGGTTGTAAGTCAAGGACTACCTGTATGCCATTGCACAATAGTGACCCTCTTTTGAAAAAGTCACCGGTATGCCTGATGTGGTATTGTGGTGTTGTATCCAAGGGTTTTTGATTTTGTTTTAAGAGTTAAAAAATATTTTTCCTCATCTATTATTATTATTATTATTATTATTATTATTATTATTATTATTATTATTATTATTATTATTATTATTATTAGTTGGAAGGGACCTTGGAGGTCATCTAGTCCAACCCCCTGCTCAGGCAGGAAACCCTATACCATTTCGGACAAATGGCTGTCCAGTCTCTTCTTAAAAACTTCCAGTGTTGGAGCGTTCATCGCTTCTGGAGGCAGGTTGTTCCACTGGTTAATTGTTCTAACTATCAGGAAGTTTCTCCTTAGTTCTAGGTTGCTTCTCTCTTTGGTTAGTTTCCACCCGTTGCTTCTTGTCCTGCCTTCAGGCGCTTTGGAAAATAGCTTGACTCCCTCTTCTTTGGGGCAGCCCCTGAGATATTGGAACACTGCTATCATGTCCCCCCTCGTCCTTCTCTTCATTAAACTAGACATACCCAATTCCAGCAGCCTTTCCTTATATGTTTTAGCCTCCAGTCCCCTAATCATCTTTGTTGCTCTTCTCTGTACTCTTTCCAGAGTCTCAACATCTTTTTTACATCGTGGTGACCAAAACTGGATGCAGTATTCCAAGTGTGGCCTTACCAAGGCATTGTAAAGTGGTATTAATACCTCACGTGATCTTGATTCCATCCCTCTGTTAATGCAGCCTAGCACTGTGGGGTAATAACTTGACTTAACTTTGTTGTTTCCATAGTTCAAAGACCAAAGGTTCAGGAAGAAGAGAAAGAAGCAATTTCCAGTTTGGATCACTCTGAACCAGTAAGCGTATGCGAGGAATTGTTAAGCAAATCCAATTTCCACACTCCGGAGGAGGAAGAAAATTTGGAAAACGAGCAAAAAAATGAAGAACGGGCAAGTAAAAACATGACTCAGCCCCTTCATAATGGAGCAGGCGAGATAAGCAATGCAGATAAATGCAAGAGGCAACTTGTGTGCAGCCGATGCAGAAAAAGCTTCAGCAGTACTTTCAAACTTATTGCTCACGAGAGAATCCACACCGGAGCGAAACCGTATAAATGTCACCGTTGCGGGAAAAGCTTTGGCAAGAAATCAATTCTTGTTGCTCATCAGAGAATCCACCTGGAGCAGAAACCGTACCAATGTCGCGTGTGTGGGAAGAGCTTTCGGCAGCTCTCAAGCCGCATTGCCCACGAGCGAATCCATACCGAAGAAAAACCCTACGCCTGCCCGGACTGCGGGAGGAACTTCCGTCTGAAATCTAGCTTGGTTGCCCACCAAAGAATCCACACAGGAGAAAAACCTTACGGGTGCTCTGAATGTGGGAGAAGCTTCAGCCAGAAATCGGCTCTGATTGCGCACGGGCGGACCCACAAAGGCGAGAAACCTTACCCTTGCTCGGTGTGCGGGAAAACTTTCAGCCAGAGCTCCAATCTCATTGCCCACGAGAGAATCCACACCGGGGAAAAGCCCTACCCTTGTCCTCACTGTGGGAGGTGTTTCGCCTGCAGTTCCAGCCTCGTCCGGCATCAGAGGATCCACGTGGAAGACAAACCGTACGGATGCGTGGTGTGCGGGAAAACCTTCCGCTGCAGTTCGAGCCTCAGCAGACACCGGCGGACCCACACGGGGGAGAAACCCCACGAATGCCCCGATTGTGGCAAAACCTTCAGCGTGAGCTCCCAACTCAGGGTGCACCGGAGGACCCATACGGGAGAGAAGCCCTACGAATGCTCCGAGTGTGGGAAAAACTTTAGCGTGAGATCGAGCCTTAAAGCCCACCAGAGAATGCACGCAGGTTCGAAGCCTTATAAATGTTCCGACTGTCCCAAAAGGGTTTATCTAAGGTCGAGCCTCACAGCCCACAAGAAAATGCATGGAGAAAAGGCGTTTGATTGCATAGAGTGTGGCAAAACCTTCACCTGTAGCTCCGGACTCATCCGCCACCAGAGAATTCACACTGGGGAAAAACCCTTCATTTGTGCAGACTGTGGGAAAAGCTTCATCCTGAGCTCCAACCTTATTGCACACCAGCGAACTCACACGGGAGAAAAGCCGTACCGGTGCTCCGAATGTGGCAAATTCTTCAGCGTGAGTTCGCAGCTCCACGTCCATCAGAGAACCCACACTGGGGAAAAACCGTACGGGTGTTCCCATTGTAGCAAGAGCTTCACGTGTAACTCCGCCCTTATTAGGCACCTGAGGATCCACACCGGAGAGAAACCGTTTCAGTGCTCGGAGTGTGGGAAAAGGTTCAATCTAAATTCGAATCTGATCGTCCATCAAAAAACCCACGCTGGAGGGAAGCCCTATAAATGCATTTACTGCGGGGAAAGTTTCTATACGAGGCCACATTTTGTCGAGCATCATAAAGCCAGACATTTGGATGCTCTAAATACGAAAACAGATGAAAGCAACAGTAATTCTAAATCCATTAATTACCAAATAAACTATGTAGGGTGGGGTTGATAAAATTGGTGAGCCTGAATCCACTGGAAAACTTTATATCGGGGCTCTCCAAACCTGGCAACTTTAAGACTTGTGGACTTCAACTCCCAGAATTCCCCTCCCAGAATTTTCCTCCCAGAATTCCCCTCCAGAATTCTGGGAGTTGAAGTCCACAAGTCTTAAAAGTTGCCAAGTTTGGAGCACCCTGTTTTACATGAACCACTTTGCAATAAATATTCTGTTGCTTCTCACAGTGAGTCCTAAGCCTTATATTTGGACAGTGCTAGCCATTTCTTGGATGTTTAGGGATCCTAAAACTCCACCCTTCTTTGGGTTCTGCACCTATATTTTTAAGGAGACAATTTCAAGGGAGGTAAAATTCAGGGGGAAAAACCTTTTTGCTTATCCACATTTACACGGCACTCTGCACCATCAAGTAGCTAAGCTCCAAAGTTGTAAAAATCAGACTTAAGTCAATAAAAATCAGAACTTTTTTTAAAAAAATGGGAAAACACTGTGGCCTTGTTTTTTTACATGCAAAAAAACATTTGTGATGCCCACAAACGTCGTTTATTTCAGTGCCTAACTTTTTTTTTTTTAAGTTACAACAGGAAGAGTGATGTCCTGCTGGCTGAGGAATTCTGGGAGTTAAAGTCCACACATCTTGCCAAGTTTGCAAAACATTGGTTATAATGTCATGATCTAGGGAGGGTCTGGCTGTTGGAGGGACTCTGCCCACCCCATACAATTTACTCCCAATAGTAAGATGGGCAGCATATAGATTTAATAAATAAATAGAAATAATCCAGCAGAATCAGCATGTTCCAGGTCCCACCAATTAAGTAATGGCCCCTAATGAGACCCAGGAAACAGGCTATCAAAACATCCTCCTAAGAATCCACATGACCCCCGTCCTGGCTTGAGTAATCCTGGAAGTTGAAGTGTCCACGCATCTCAAAAGGTTGCTGAGATTGAGAAACGCTGATTTAAATAAATCTTTAAAACCTGGCTGCTTCTCAGATGTTGTGAATTGAGGGTTGTGGGATTTGTTAGATGGTCCTGTTTTTCTCTGGATTTTTTTTAACTGTTATTATTTTCATATTGTATACAGTAGGTGGGCCATTTTAAATTTTGTCTAGTCCAGGGGTAGGCAACCTTGGCTCTTTTATGACTCGTGGACTTCAACTCCCAGAATTCCTGAGCCAGCATGGCTCAGCTTGGAATCCTCTCCCTTTCCCCTCAGCATGGCTGGCTCAGGAATTCTGGGAGTTGAAGTCCATGAGTCATAAAAGAGCCGAGGTTGCCTACCCCTGGTCTAGTCTATGCCTCCTAGAGTCATAATAGAGTTGGGTAGCAATTAAATATTAAATACTTAAGTAAATTTTCTCTGGGAACACAACCTTGGTATGCAGTGGAGATTTTTTGAAACATACACTCATACACACCACACAGCAAAGCAGCTATCACCAGTGGAAAAGCTACACTAGTCGAAGCACGCTTGTATAGGGACATGAAGGTAAAGAAGCACCCGTCTAGATAGAGCTTTTGAATCTACCAAAGGTACAAGTTTAGTTTCCTATCTACCTCTATAATCTCACAAAGGGCTGTTCTTAATTATCCATAACTGGTGATTTTTTAAAAAAAAAAGACTTTTGTGTAAATTCAGTTTGCACTTCTACAGGTATGTTATCTTCCCATGGCTGTCCCCCCCCACTCTGAAATTCTGAGATTGCAATTCAGAAAATAACCTTATGTAAAAGGGAGGAGAGTTTATTGTCCTTTATTTTATTTTTTTTCAGCATCCAGCCGGGGTTGATTCTATATGTTTAATGTTAAATTTATGTCATACGTGGGTCACTTTTTCCTCCCTTTTTTGTACGCCATTTTTTTTTCCTTCTTTTTTGGTGTTTGTGCTGGATGTATATTTTTTGTTAGTTTGTTTTTCTGTTTTATGTTTTACTTTTTATGATAAAACAAAAATAAATATATTTAAAAAGAAAATAACCTTTTAAAGAATTCAGGGTTTTCTTTAAAGGTGAGGCATACGAAAATACAAAGAAAATATTGAAATATTAAATATTAAAATATTTAAAAATAAATATTTGATTAGTTTCCAACCATTGTTTCTTGTCCTGCCCTTTGGTGCTTTGGAGAATAATTTGACTCCTCTTCTTTGTGGCAACAACTCAAATACTGGAATACTGCTATAATGTTACCCCTGTTTCTTCTTTTCTTTAGACTAGTCCAGGAGCTGGCAACCTTGGCTCTTTTATGACTCATGGACTTCAACTCCCAGAATTCCTGAGCCAGCCATGCTGAGGGGAAAGGGAGACGTTTCCAAGCTGAGCCATGCTGGCTCAGGAATTCTGGGAGTTGAAGTCCACGAGTCATAAAAGAGTCAAGGTTGCCTACCCCTGGACTAGCCAAACCCCAATCCTGCAGCCATTCTTCATATGTTTTAGTCTCCAGGCCTTGGATCATCTCAGTTGCTCTTCTCTGAACTTTTTCCAAGGTCTCAACATCTTTTTTGTAGTATGGTGACCAAAATTGGTTGCAGTATTCCAGGTGTGGTCTTACTAGGGTTTTATAAAGCGGTACTAATACCTCGCGTGATCTTGATTCTATGCCTCTGTTTATACAACCCAGGATTGTATTAGCTTTTTTGGCTGCTACTGCACACTGCTGGCTCATAGTCAAGTGATCGTCCACTAGGACTCCAAGGTCCCTCTCACAGTTACTGTTTTTGAGCCAGGTCTCGCCTAATCTATACTTGTACCTTTGGTTTTTCCTGCCTAAATTTAATATTAAAAAATTAAGAACATTGCAATAACAATTCATACAGCACAATCTTGTGTTTTAAAAATCCCTGCAAGCATCCTGGAAAGTTGGCCAGTTTAATTTGTGTCTTGATGACCAAGGTATAAAGAAACCGGTTCAGATTGAAGGTGATGGGATGGATGGATGGATGGATGGATGGATGGAGAGGGGAGAAATCTCCAATCTGCAGAAATATCCATAATGTATTCCATAATCTCATGGGAGAAAAATCTGTTTATGTGGTCACTAGGAGTGGAAAACAACTTGATGGTACGTTCACGAATCAATCAATTCCATAATCGTCAACCATGAGAAGAGGTAAGGAGGTTTGTGGACTTCAACTCCCAGAATTCTCCCCCCCCCCCGAATTCTGGGAGTTGAAGTCCACAAGGCTTGAAAAGTAGGATCACCTCAAATTCAGAAAGAGAGCAAAACAGTGCCAGCAACCAGGGTAACATCACCTGAGCAATATTTCTGACCAACTTCCATCTGAGAATATTGTTGAGGGCTGCTATCCAACCCATCATAAGTGTGTCAGATTGGAGAAGGATGTTTGAAGGAACCCCCACTGTGCAGTTGGCATCCATGGAAGGTTTACAACATTTTGCAGTTGAACCTAATGGAGTCTAGAACAGTTTCTCTCTGGGATTTGGGAACCAGGCCAAATAGCTGGCAACACCATCATTTCTTAAGAGATTAGGCCAGGCCACATAATACCCGAGTATTCAGAGCAGTACAGATAGTCCTCAGCTTACGACCACCATTGAGCCCAAAAATTCTGTCGCTAAGCGAGACATTGGTTAAGTGAGTTTTGCCCCCTTTTATGACCTCCCTTGCCATAGTTGTTAAGTGAATTGCTGCAATTGTAACCTGGTCATTAAGTGAATTTCGCTTGTCAGAAGGTCGCAAAAGGGGTGATCCCAGGACTCTGCAACCGTCACAAATATGAGTCGGTTGCCAAGCCTCTGGATTTTGACCAGGTGACCCATGGGGATGCAGGAGTGGTCGTAAGTGTGAAAAATGGCATCAGTCCCTTCTTTCAGTGCCTTTGTAACTTCAGTCATTAAGTGAACTATTGTAGCTCAGGGGCTGCCTGTATGTGGAAATGGGCAAGTGGCTCCTACTTGTAGTAATAATAATAATAATAATAATAATAATAATAATAATAATAATAATAATAATAAAGTTGGAAGGGACCTTGGAGGTCATCTAGTCCAACCCCCTGCTCAAGCACCTTTGGGATATGGTAAAGTCTGTTTACCGACAGGTCAGAGAAGAATTTTTGAAGGTCACAACCTCGTAAGTGGCGAAGACCTCCGTCCAACAAGGTGACCAATTAACAAGATTGACAGTCCTTCAAAGAGGAATCAAGATCCAACGAAGAGAGGAACTAATCAAAGGTAGGTAACGAAGAACAGGACGGAAGTCCGTGTTTGAAGAATAGCTTGACTCCCTCCTCTTTGTGGCAGCCCCTGAGATACTGGAACACTGCTATCATATCCCCCCTCGTCCTTCTCTTCATTAAACTAAACATACCCAACTCCAGCAACCGTTCCTCATATGTTTTAGCCTCCAGTCCCCTGATCATCTTTGTTGCTCTTCGCTGCACTCTTTCTAGAGTCTCAGCATCTTTTCTATATTATGGAAGGAGCTTTATTATAATATGTTTTATATAATATGGTAGGAGCTGCTGTCCAGGCTCTGCTACGGCGTGATGCCAATTGCATAGAGCCTCGGACAGCTGTGGAGTGAGGGCATGCAGAGTGCCCTGCCACCCGGCAAGTGGGAAACCCAAGGACAAAAAAGTACCAATCCTGAATAAGCCATAGAAAAGGAGAAAAGGAGGATCCCTCACCAGTGCCCATACCTCTTTCTCCAGATTCGGTCACCTGCAGCTCGGTCACCTTAATCCTTCCGAACAGCTTCACGAAATAGAAGGAGCAAAGCGGGCACAACACAGACTCTAAGGGGGCCCGGTTGCCGTCTGTCTACCTGCTTGCCTGGCCAGCTGGCGTTAGGGAATCC